GTATACTGCTGATTTTATGAGACTAGCAAACTTAAATAGCCTGCAAAAATCCGAAAGTACGAAAATTTCACGGTACTTGACAGGATTGAATATTTCAATACGTCTTATGATGGGGTGGCATACATTCTACACCCTTGAAGAGGCTCAAGAGTTAGCATGGAAGGGGGGATATTATTAGAAGTAAAATAGTTCTTCTAGAAAAACCGAAGATGTTCCACCCGTTGTCAAAGTTAAGGAGGTACAAGATACTTCGTTCGTTATTCAAGCACCCAGTTTGGTGAGGGGTCATGGTTTATGAGTTAACGAAGTTAAAGACGAAATTGTTGATGCAAAGGTTAAAATTAGCGTAGCTATGATTAACGATGACATTAACGAAATCAAGGTTAAAGTCGATGAAGTTGAAGGGAGAGTCAACGAGGTTGAAGAGAGCATCAACAAAGTCGAAGAGAGTGTCAACGGGTTAGAAGAGAACGTTAGCAAGGTTGAAGAGGGAGTCGATGAGTTTAAAAAGGGTGTTAAAAACAAATTTGAGGACGAATTTGAAGTTGTAAAATTTGTTCAAGAAGAGGAAGGTGCACGAGAAGAGAATGAACAAGTGGATTGCGTTGAAGTATGTGATCTAATTGTAGATAGTGTTTGCTGTGAAGTTCTTGTATCAGAGAAATTGGTGGAGTCATTGGGATTTTCGATTAAGAAGCCAATTTTTCTAACGCCTCGTTTGGAGGATGATTTTTTAACCGAGATTTTTGTGCCGGGAAGATTGGTGGAGCACTTGAAGTTGTTTGCAAAGATATACGCATCGCTAAATTTTTATCATAGCTCGAGGTCGAGCTCTTTTGAAGAAGAGGAGATTGATAAGGAACGTCAAATTGGATTCGAATTGCAAAATAACTATTTAATTCGTAGAAGAGTTATTAATGGGCATTGGTGGAGGTATCAAAAGAAATTATGGAAAAATAAGGGTTTTCGACGAACTCAAATTTTATTTGAGTACGAAACTAACACTATCTCAAGTGAAACGACGCAAGGAACAAAACTCATGAGCAAAGCTCATGAATCACGTCAAATTTCAGCAATCCAACGTCGTTTAGACTCCTAAAAGTTCATTTTTGCTATTTTAGGCAAGTTTTAGAAAATTAATATCAAATCATAGAAACATCGTATTAAGATTCCATAAATTGGGTTGCTCCCAAAATTAAGATATTTACTAGAATCAAGCTCTAACTCGTTTTTGCCGTTTTTGGTAATTTTTAGTATTTTCTTAGTTTAATTAAGATTTTCAGTTTTTTTTAGTATAAATAGCTGCCTTAGGATTTTATTTTGGGCAGAAATTTCGAATTTTAATAAAATATTTAGAGTTTTCTCTATTTTTTTGGTGGATTCCAGAGTTTTCGGTGGATTCCGAATGTTATTTTGTTCTATAGGATTAATTTGTAGAAATTAATTCTTTACCTTGCTTCCGTTCTGCATCATTATCTCTTTAAAATACTAACATGCAATCATCATCTAAGCAATATAACCACATAATATGCAAGAATTAACCAAGAAATTGAATAAAAACCGAAATAACAGTGGTGTTGTATGTTTGAGCAAGAATTCCAGAATTCTCACCTCTATTCTGTAAGTGAAGGATTTGTTAGCTCTTTTCTCTCTACGACAAGAAAAGATAGAGGGTTAGAATAAAATTTTAAGAAGAAGAAGAACTTGAATGGAGAAGAGCTTAGCTCTTTCGAAAAAAATGGACAAAAGAGGAGGAAGAAGAAGCTTACTCCTAAACTTGGTCGAAAATTCTCCTCTTGTTGAAATAGAAGGAGACCTTGAACTTATAGATGGTGAGAGTGGAGTTTGAGAGTGTATTTCGATCTTGGACATTGGAGGTATTTGTAGAGTTTTTTGAGAGCTCAAAGCCTATGGAGAAGAAAGGGAAATACATGTTTGTATGGAGGTGATTTTGCAATTTTTTTTTGGAAGAGGTGTGAAGGTGGTTCTTGGATGGATTAAGCTTGAGAAAATGGGTATGACGGGGAGATGGAGCTGCCAAAATGAGATAGAGAGAGGAAGAAGAAGAGTGACTCTTGGACTTGCTAAAGTTGGAGTGTGGGAGTGGTTAACTCTGCTCTAGCTAATGATTAGGAAAAGCTAGACTTAGGTATTTTTTTTAATACTCAAAGTACAAGCCTTATAATGCTTGTCCTCTCCTAATTAATATGCATTATTTTAAATTCTTGTATGTGTGTATTAGTGACCGAAAATTTCAAGAAAATAAGGGAATGATTTTCTAATTTTTCTCCACTAATTAATAATCCTAAAATGCATGAGTAAATTTTTATTTTCTAAAATTTAGTGCATGCATAAATATGATAAAATGTTCATTTATATTCATCATGCAAGAATAAAATTTTAGTTCATGGAAATAATTTATTTTACAAATTCGAGGAATATTTATTTCGACATAATATGTCCAAATATTCCCTAAGCACATAATCACATAATTCACATAATCAAACAATTCCCGCAATTATTGATCATGCAAGAATCATTCTAAATTTTATTTTAATAAATTTGCACATAGAGGTGGTAAAAATAGAATACTAATATTTTACCGAAAATGTAGGGTGTTGCAATCTCCCCCACTTAAAAAAAATTGTCCCCAAAATTTGTACCCTTTTCACTTAGTTCCGGATAACGAATCACAATCTCATCCGCAAGTTCCCACGTTTCCTCATCCTAAGAATGGATAAATTTCTTTGTTTCGGAGTTTCCTAACCTTTCGGTCTAATATTTGAGAGGGTTCTTCGGTAAAGGATAGGTTTGGCGATAAATCGATTGGTTCGGTTTCAAGAAAGTGGTTTGGATTGGGAATATATTTTGGAGCATAGAAACGTGAAATACATTGTGGATTTTGGATAGTTGAGGTGGTAGGGCTAGGCGATAGGCTTGGCCACTGATTCAGTCGAGTATTTGAAGGATCCGATGAATCGAGGGTTAGCTTTCCTCATTTCCGAATCGCATGATTCCCTTGAGTGGAGCGACTCTCAAGAACACATGGTCGCCGACTTGGAATTCCACATCTCTCGTCTTCTTTTATTCGCGTATTTTTGTTGGCGATCTTGGGCGATTTTTATTTTCTCTCGAATATTCTTGATTATGTCGACGGTGTGTTGGACTAGCTCGGGTCCTAATAACTTTCGCTCTCCTACTTCGTCCCAATGGATTGGAGAACAACATTTTATTCCGTACAATGATTTGTAAGGTGCCATTCCGATCGAAGATTGTAAGCTATTGTTGTACGAGAATTCGATGAGAGGTAGACGGCTTTCCCAATTGCCGCCAAAATCCATTATGCATGCTCGAAGCATATATCTTCGAGGGTTTTGATTGTCCTTTCCGATTGTCCGTCGGTTTGGGGATCGTATGCCGTACTAAAAGCTAGATGGGTTCCTATAGTTTCGTGCAAGCTTTTCCGAAATTTGATGGTGAATCGAGGATCTCGGTCGGAGATGATTGATATCGGAACTCTGTGGAGTCGGACGATTTCTCTGATATAGAGTTAAGCCAATTTTTGGAGGCCAAAAGTAGTCTTGATGGTGTGTGAACTTAGTTAGGCGATAGATTATTACCCATATTGAATCGGATCATTTAAGAGTCTTCGGGAAACCTTGAACAAAGTCCATGGTTACTCTTTCCCATTTCTACTCGAGAATAAGGTTGGATTGTAAAAGTTCATCGGGCCTTTGGTGTTCCGTCTTGATTCATTAACAAACTAGGCATTCGGATACGTATTTGGCTATATCCTTCTACATTCCTGGCCACCAATAAAACTTCTTCAAGTCTTGATATATTTTGGTTTCACCCAGATGGCAAGAGTAGGGGATTTTGTGAACTTCGTCGAGAATTAGTTCATTTATTTCTTTGCCTGCCGGAATGCAAATTCTCTCTTGAAATTTCAAGAGTTTGTCATCGGCCATCGAGAAGTTTGGATTTTAACTAGCTGCTAAGCTTTCTCGGATTTTTAGAAGTTGAGCATCATGGTCTTGAGAGGACTTGATTTACCGGGATGGTAAAGGAATTTGCGGACATGGATTTTCGGCTAAGAGCATCGGCGACAACGTTGGATTTACCGGGATGGTAAAGGATTTCGCAATCATAATCTCTTTTGACTCATATTGAGCTCTTTTTGAGTGAAGAAGTATTTGAGACTTTTGAGGTCGGTGAAAATCGAACATTTTTCTCCGTAGAGATAATGTCTCCAAATTTTAAGGGCGAACATGTCTGCCGCGAGTTCCAAGTCGTCCGCCAGGTAATTCTATTCGTAATCTTTTAATTATCTAGAGGCATAGGCAATCACGTTTCCATTTTGCATTAGGACGGCTCCGAGTCCGTGTTTGGAAGCATCACCATAGACCATATAGTTTCCGGTTTTACCGGGTAGAGTGAGGATTGGTGCTGAGATTAATCGTTTATTGTGTTCTTGGAAACTAGACTAGTATTTGGGAGTCCATTGATACTTGAATTCTTTTCGGGTCAAACAAGAGAGTGGAGCGGCTATCTTGGGAAAGTTCGGAATGAACCATCGGTAGTAACCGGCAAGGCCGAGGAAACTTCGGATTTCTCCGACTTTCCGAGGGATTGACGAATTACAAACGGCTTCAATGTTGCTTGGATCAACGGCTATGCCTTCCTTGGAAATTACATGGCCAAGAAAGTGGACTTGTCTTAACCAAAACTCACATTTAGAAAATTTTGCATAGAGTTGGTTCTCTAGGAGAGTTTGGAGCACCATTTCCAAATGGTTCCGATGTTCTTCGTTGTTTCTTGAATAGACTAAGATATCTTCGATGAATACGATCACAAATTGATGAAGATATTTGCGTAAGATTCAATTCATAAGATCCATGAATGCGGCTGGGGCATTGGTTAGACCAAACGACATCACTACAAATTCGTAATGGTCGTAACGAGTTCAAACGCGGTCTTCGGAATATCTTCCTTCTTGATTTTCAATTGATGGTACCCGAAACGGAGGTCAATTTTGGAATAGACGGTGGAGCCTTGACGTGGGTCGAAAAGGACGTCAATTCTTGCTAATCGATACCCGGAAGGGATATTTATTTTTTACGCTGACCTTGTTGAGCTATTGGTAATCGATACACATTTGGAGGGTTATGTATTTCGTTTTCACGAAGAGTACCGGAGCACTCCATGGGGAAAAAATAGGGCGGACGAACTTCTTATTGATAAGATCTTGAATTTGGTCCTTGAGTTCCTTTAGCTCTAACGGCGCCATGCGATAAGGTGCCTTAGAGATAGGAGCGGAGCCGGGGATCAAATTAATTTCAAATTCAATTTCACGATCGGGTGGAAGACCGGGGAGATCTTCGGGAAAGACATCGGGAAATTTGCAATCGGTTGGCACTTTGAAAAGGTCGATTTTATCTTCGTCGAGAGTTTCCACTATGTCAACGAAATGACAGGTGCCCTTTTTTAATAAGTTTGGTTGCTTTGATCAAGGAAATGATATGAATCGATGGATTATACAAGCTTCGGAATTCGAGAAAGCTTACATTCGGTAAGGAGAAACGAATGGTTTTGTGAGCACAGTTGATTTGGGCGCTGAATTTTGATAACCAATCCATTCTGGGAATTATTTCGAAATTTTTAATGGGTAGAATGATTAGATCGGAGGCTAGGGATTGGTTATGAATCTGAATAAGGCAATCTTTCATGATGAAATCGGATTTAAGTTTATCACCAGAAGGAATAAGTATGATAAACAAGACATCGGCTTGACTACGGACTAGGCGGAGTTCGGCAACGAGGGTACTTGAGATGAATGAGTGAGTTGATCTGGAATCGATGAGTGCATACACGGGCTTATTATAGATATTAACGGTACCTGGGTTCATTGACGGGTCGTCTTTGGGTTGGTGTCTAGTCATGGCGAATACTCGTCCCGGCACTTGCTTCGGGACTTTGGGAAGTCTCGGACCATATGCCCGGGCTTCTTGCATAAAAAACAATGGTTGTTCCGAGCAACACAATTGCCGGAGTGCTCTTGTTTGCATTTAGGGCAAAAGGGTTTGTTGCTCGGGTTCACGGTTGCTCGGTTGATCGGTTGCATTCCTTTGGCATTGTTGAGGTTCGGTTTCTTCCATAGTCGAGAAGAGGCATCGTAGTAGGTCGCCATTGTCCGATTTCCACCTCATCTTGTGAGGCTTTTAAGGCTTTATCTACTACTCCGTAGAAAGTGGAAGCGGAGATTAGTCGAACGTCACGCTTGATTACCGGGCTGAGACGCCTTAAGTAGTGATTCATCTTCTCGGTATCGTCTTTGGATATGAAAGGTGCGTAGAGGCTGCCTTGTTCGAAACGGTGAGTGAATTCGGCAACGGGTAGGTTTCCTTTGAGTTCGAGAAACTCTTTAAGTTTTTGTGCTCGGACATTCTTGGAAAAGTACTTTTCGAAGAAAAGAACTTTGAAAGCTTCCCAAGTGGTATTTGCTAAATCGATGCCATTCTTTGCGCCTTCCCACCAATTTCGGGCTTCGTTCTTCAACAAGAATAATGCGCAATGGATTCGGTCGCTATCTTTCATCACCATGTATTCAAAGATAACCTCGAGGGACTTGATCCATTCTTCGGCAATGGTTGAATTAGGGCCGCCGTGGAATTTGGTAGGATGCAATTTCAAGAATCGCTCGTAGATAGATTGTGGGGCTGTATTTCGAGGTGGTGGAGGTGGAGGAGGGTTTCGGTTTTGAAGGTTAACAAGGGGTGGATTTGTTCATTTTATTCTCGGACGAGGGCGGTGAGGTCTTAGATGGTATGAGATTGATTGTGTGGGTCGTTAGCGGAATTTTGAGCTCGAGTTCTTGTTCCCGACATTTTAATACTTTAAACATATAGAAATAATTCATAATAGTCATAAACAATTCACATAAAACATATACCTGCTCGAGTGCTTAGCTGAAGTCGTGCTTTGAGAATCAGTGAGACCGATAAGTGGTCTGACCGAACCAGCAAGCTGGATCGAAATGAACCATCGGACTGGCCAGTCTGACCGGTTCGATCCAGGTAATTTAAAAAAAACATAAATAAATTAATTATTTCAGATCTGTTTTCAAATTTTGAAACAATTTTAAAGGTGGAAAAAATTCTAAACAATATTTCATAAATATTCTAAACTTTCAAAAAACACCCAATTAAATAATACAAAAATTCTAATTTTAATAAACTTAAGCATGCATTAAAATAAGCAATATTCGAATGCAATTAATTGCGCAGCGAGCTCTGATACCACTATAGGGAATCAAACACATGTACGCAGCGGAATAATAAAAACATTATATGATAAACGAGTTTGACATATAAACACGTGCACAATCTAGCAATTAATGTGTACATTTTTGCTTTCCGCGCAATTTAAAACCATACATACGTATAATTAAATTGCTCCATTTAAAATATATAGCATGCTCGTAGGATTAACACATAATCGAACATATTACCAAGTATTTCCCTTAATCATTCAAAATAAAGATCCATGTGATAAATCATAATATTGAATTAATCATAATTAATAATAAATACAAAAGCCACTAACGGATCCGGATTATACCTCTTGAAGCGCCGAATCAGTGGTTGGATGGGGCAAACTATTTCGGAAACCAATCCGAACAGCCTGGTGGAGCAGCAGCGAACGCGCGATTAGCGGAGGTGCATGCGTTGCACGCGCTGATCTCTCGATGGCGCGTGCGACGGTGATTTGTTGGCGGTGCAACAGCGATCCGACTCCCTTGTATTCCTCCTCTTGGATTTCACCTCGTACACTGAATTCTACAGTTACGTGGCACTAGACACGCAAAAGTTAGAATGAAACAGAAGAATAATACAAGAAAAGGATGGGAGCGCGCGGAGGCAACGTCTGACGATGGCGGCGGCGCAACTGGGTGGAGGAGTAACGACCGTGAGTTGTAAGAGATAGAGAGCGGCTAGAGTTTTAATTGTGTGTGCAAGACCTATAAATCTTATATTTATAGCGTCTTGTGCATAAACCCTAACATGCTTAAGTTGGACCGGGCCCAACAACTTAAGCCTGTCTTTCTCTACTCATTTCTCACAATCAATGATCGGAAAAATATAACAATTACATTTTCGGAATCACTGTAAAGTCTTCGTTGACACGAATGCCAATCCTCGTAACAACGGCCTTTTGCTCCTCGACAACAATCGCTGACGTGAGTAGTCTCCTTCATATGATGCATAGTAGTGGGTCAGGCTTGGCTAAGGAAATTCTTCGTGTGAGGATACTTCTCGATCAACATAGCCCGATGACGAACGATAAACTCCATGCCCTCGATAGTAGCCATGAGTTCTCCCAAGGATTTCTCCCTCTCTGCAGCAACGCGATGCTCCAGTTCTGCCTTGTACTCACTTTCCCTAGCCTCCACCAGCGCCAACGACGTATCTCGCTCCTCGAATACTCGAAGAAGTTGTCCCTCCAGTGCACTCTTGAGTCCGCCATGTTTCGCTAAAACCTTGAGAAGAATCTCTTTAGCTTCCTCGCACTGCTTGACTAGGGCCCCATTCTCTTTATACAAGGCATGAAGATGGGAAGAAGCTCGCTCGAGAGCACGGCACCTGATAACTGGCTATTAAGATCACGAACAAATTGGTCTCGAGCAGAAGGATCATTGCCATCAAGTCTTGAAGCACAGATGGATCTAGCCTGAGACACAAAAGCATAGAAAGCAATGGAGATGAGGTAGAAAGAATAAGTAAGGAAAATAGGAAAGTAGTTCGCACTTGGCCAAGATGCGCCTGTTGCGAGGAGAGAGACAGGTCATGGAGGTACGCAGCATCTCGGATGTTTTTTTCCTAACTAAAGAGCAATGAGGTCCACTGAGGCCTCAAGATTGGAAAATGAAAAGAGACTAGGTAAATCCAGGCGTGCTTTCATCGCCGGCAAAGCCTCATCGTTAGCAATAGGACGCTTGGAGCTCACCCCCAAAGACTCACCTTGAGCCTCGGCAAGTCCATGGCTCTGGATCGGAAGCTCGAAGAAGGTACGATCCTCCCCCTACTCTCTCTCTCTCTCTCTCTCTCTCTCTCCAAGATCAATGACGATCAGATGAGCAATCACATGTGTTGCGTCGGAAGTAGAAAGGTGCAAAGTGAGCGAACTGGAATTATGAGAAAAGAGCTCGGTCCCATGAGCCACCATGTTGGTTGTTTTGCCTCGGCAACTGAGGACGATGGACCAATGGGAGTCTTTTTTCTCAGCCTGGACCACGAACTCCATTAGTATATCATGCATCATTTTGCCTAAAAAAAAGGAAATTTTATTTCAGATCACCAAGGCAAAATAAATAGAACGGTCTACTAAAAACAATAAAATAAAAAAGCTATATATACCCCAAGGGCGATGGTATGAGGACGGTGTTCGCCACAAATGGGTGCGGGAAAAAAGTGAAGGATAACCGATTATCTTCTTAACGTGCAAGGCACGCGGATGAGCACGAGCAAGCAAGAGCTCCACCTCATTGTCATAATTCGGGCCACCGAAATCTTGTTTGGGGACTCGTTGAGAGGAGCGGCATTGAAGGGCCAGCGGGAAGGAGAGCAGACAAAGAAGAACTTTTGTTTCCACAAGGGGATCTTGGTAATCATACCGGCAAAGAGCCGACCAGAGATGCATGTAGAAAGGTGGAAATAGCCGGATCGAAAGTTGTTGAGGGTAAGGAGCTGAAGAAAGAAGTCAAGGCGAGGATCGACGCCGATACCGACACAGAAAATGTTAAAACAAGACATGAACTTTACAACATTTGGGTGGAAACCTTGTACATTTGACTGACTTCAACAAAAGAAAAGGATGATAGGGAAGAGTTAAACATGCCCGGAACTAGTCAAGGTACGAAATAAGGTACCTCGGGGGCGGGTTAGAAGACAGCTGAGAAGAGGAAGGAATGAGAAGCTTGAAGAAGGATCTAGACCTTGGGTAGAGGGAAGGACGTCGAGGCCTAAAAGTTCAACAAGAGAGTGGTTAGCCTTGTCCGTCGACAATGCCTCGGGCAGAGGAAGGATCAGGGACGGCAGTCTGGGGAGACCGCCGACGACCCCTACGGGAGGACAGAGCGGGGAGAGGAAAGGATGTTGTCCTCTCATATGAGGAAGCAACAGTGCCTCGATAAACCATGACGGTAAATGAAATCTCCTAGAAAAATAAAATAAACATAAACCAATGGAAAATAAGGAATACGTGTTAGTGAAGATTCCCACAATTATGATAAGAGGAAAGGTAGGAGGAGGGAAGAGAAAAGAAAGATAGCCACCGAAAAGAAGAGGGAGGGGCATTTGAAAAAGAAGATATTAAATGGGCACAAGAATCGTGGGGTCCACGCACGCGGGCAACGGCTACCCAGGCGGACAGACGAAGGGACAGAAGGTGAAGGGACGCATGAAAGTGACGGGTGAAAAGGCTAGAAATCACCCACCTATCGGCGTAACTATTAGGATAGTAGACTAGAAGCCTCACTTTTATCAAATTTAAACGATCAAAGTTTTAATGAATTTTATTTATTTAGTCATTCATGAGAATTTGTGCATGTACATTTCAACTAATTTTAATTAGATATTGATTAATCGTCAATTAATTAAATGTACAGATCTGATTTTCTAATAGTATTCGAAATGTTGTGCTACGACCAGTGGCGAGTCCATGCATATGATACAGGGTGGGCTTAAATTTTCAGGGGTACGGGGGCAGCGGCCCTGAAAAGAATTTAGGACTTTTTTGTGACAAAATCAAAAAATAGGGAAAAATAAATAAATAAATAAATAAATAAATAATAAAGAGAGAAGAATAAGGGTTTTTTTGCATAATTTTGAATTTTGGGAGGACTAATTAATAATAATTGGGGATTTTTTGTATTAATTTTTATTTTGGGTGGGCTAATTAATAAATATTGGGTGGGCTTAATAGATATATAGGTATAATATGGGGAAAATATTATAATTTAAGGGTGGGCTTGAGTCCACCCTCCCAAAGGGGTGGACTCCCCCCGGGCTACGGTGCACAAAAACATCATTTTGAAAGTTCGTTTAGAAATAAAGATTAGACGTTCACAATCTAGATAGAATTGAACTGAACATTGGTAAAAGATTGTAGCACATATTTAAGTGATTGATAATGATCACGGTAAACAGAGAATAGCTTTTGTAGTTATTTGTTTGACTTATTGTGCTAGCAAACCCGACATGTGTTGAACAGAACAAGGTGAAATAATTGTTTCATGACTGATTAAATATGAAACTATATAATTTATAGTTTACAGTAAATTACTTAACATCTTAATCTCTAAATAATTAACGCACATATTTAATTGGTGATCTCTACTTTGATCCACGATCGGAGAGATCCTTATATTGAGTCAAATGAGCCCCAGTGCATTGGGTAGAGACTCTAAGAACTAATAGGTGAAAACTAATTACCGAAAGGAATTCACATCTCTTATATGGGGTATCGATTAATAACCTTTGAGTAGCTTATAAGTTTTGTATATGTCAGAAACTCGGACGAATGAATTTTATATCTGAGTACTC